ATTTTCACTTTCACTTTATGCTGAACAGAATGCCCCACAGAAGCTGATTAGTCATGCTGCATTGTTTACACGAAAGATGTCAGATGAATGATTGCGTGTCATCCAGTAGAACCGTAGCCAAAAGCAAAGGGATTTTTCCAGGAATACTGTACCATGTCCTGCTTCCCTCCTCTCCCTTTTCCCGCCTTCATTTAAGGCTCCCCCCGCGCTCCTACCACCACCCCTTCCCCGGCACAGTGCTAGTCTTCCTTTGAATTCCATGCATCTGGTCATTTTTGGGAAACGCCCACGGCAGAGCTGTCGAGTGAACCACAGGAAACAAAGCCTCTTGGTTTCCTCAGCAGCTTGAAGAAGCCCAGTACTGACCCTCGGGGTGGGGTCAGGCAGTAGAGTGGGAAGGTTCTGGACTTTCTAGGAATTGTTTTTCAATGGAAACGTAATGTTTTTCTGTTTCTCTTCAGAAGAATGATATTGCCATGGATTCTAATAGAATTAAACTATGTTGCATAAAAGCTTTCTTTGATATCTGTTCAGACTTGCTAAGTAGGAATTTGACTGATTCAGTTAAATGAAGGATAAAAATAACACTAAAACCTTCGAGCTGTGTCCCTAAGCCACAGTGTGATCATGCAATGGTTTTCTTTTACTAGACTAAATCCTTTGAACAGGGTTGTAACTCCTTAACACCTTCAGGGGCATGATACACCCTCAGCTGTCTTCCTTTTCCTCTATTTTCGCCGTATGAATGACTCACTTATGCTCTCAATTTAGAAAGTTAATCAACAAGAATCAAAAGAAGACCTGAAGAAAAAGAATAGCAGCAGATGGCTACTGCCTTGTTTTTTAAAAATGCTTACAGACCTGGCTGCAGAAGTTTGTTGCTTTTTTCAGTGTAGACTTTCAAGTGTCTGTCCAAGTAGAGAGCCAATTTTGGTTTCATTGTGATGAACAGCTTGTAAATCAGAGTTTTCCATCACTGTGAAGAACACTCAGTGCCACCTTGCTGCGTGGCCTACTCAAGGGTCTAATAGTTTACAAAGGAGGTTACAAAAATAGGAATGTTGGTGGAAATTTATGTATTTCCTCTTTGTCGTCCTCATGTTCTCATTTTGAATAAAAAAAACATTTTTCTTACAGCAGTATTATTGATAGAGGAACAGAGACAAACACACTTGCTCTTTTTTTCCCCTCTGCATGAAATATTTGGCTGCATATCACCTCTCTGTGACGCCAGTCTCATTGATTCAGACCAGAACACTTCCATCACCATCAAGGCAAAACGCTCTTAGAGTCTTCAAGGTCTGCTTCAATGGAATGAGACACAGTGCTGACATTTATTTACATGCAGGATGTAGTACAGCTCTCCAGTTACTTAATGTTAAATTGCCTTCATAAACTAACCTCTGCCAGTTCATGGGTAAAGGCTGAAAGTTCATGTCAGCCAGTTCTCAAGAGTTTCTAGTGTTGTCTGTAGGGCCACAGGTCAACTTCTTTAGTTTCAAGAGTCAAGTCTCAGTTCCCAGCTTTTAATTCTTAATGGTTGAACCAATTAATATTGATGATTTAGCTGACCAGTGTCTGTGTAATGGTACTCTCATGTGTTTCCATTCCCTCTTGACTAATTTCAGTAAATTTTAGAAAACGAGAAACCCTTTTTTGTCATAATAATACTAAATATTGCATAATATGAGCAAAAATATCATTCTCTCTTACTAAAAGTATTAAGTACAAATGCTAGCAGGCATTTTTATTACAGTTTAATCATAATAGTTTTTTTTTTTTTAATGGAACAAAATATTTTTTTCATGCTTATATTTGATATTCCTCTCAACCCAATTTGACATTAAATAGCATGGATGTTGTTCTTTTTGTATTATGTTCTACCGGCAATATTTCGTTTATCATCATATATGACACAAAAAATAATAAAATATTATTGACCAATAATGGCTGATTGACAGTCACGTTAAATCCTTTATAGATGATTAACCATCTATGTAATTTTTCAAATAAAATGACAACGGTCCCTCCGATGGCCTGATCAGAACACTGAGTCTGATTCACGTAGCATGTAGGATTTTCTTTTAAAGCTATCACTACTTATTTGACAATTTTAGAGAATATGATTTTCAATATATATCAGTTTTTTTTTTCCAAAGGCACAATTGTTTCTTTTGTTGTTGTTGTGTATGCCTGACTTTGCTTGTTTGTGGCATTCCAAACACAATGCTAACAGGAAACTTCCACAGTGCCCTCTGGTGGACAAACTATGTTACATCAAGACTCGTGACATGGTTGAATGGTGTCTCTCGTCTCATCTTTCTTTTTTTAAATTTTCATTTATCGGTCGTTTTAAATATCGAAACTGATAGATTAAATGTAGCTTAGATCAGTCTTGTGATAAATTAATCAGACTCTACTAATCATCCCTGCTTTTCTGGAGAAAATGTGGATGCCATGTGTGATAAACACACTAAATAAACATCTTTGTAACATATCTTTTGGTCACCTGGATAAAATGTAGGACCAAAGAGACATTGTCAGTAAATTTAAATGAGCCTTTTAGAGTGAAAATACAAAAACGATGCTCCTTATGTATGAAATGCAAACAGTGCCACACTCCTGCATGAAAACAAATGACTATTTTTCGTGCTGCTTCCTCTTATTTTCCCTTGTATCCTCTCTTTAGCCACTTTCTTCGTTGGCCGATTTCCCGTCTTCCTCTGTGTTCTGTACAGTAGATCTTTCCACAGTTGCTCAGAGTTTGTGCCCAGTTGAACCAAAGACTGTTAATCTGGTAATCCACAATCAATATCAGCCTCAACTCTTTTCCTTCAGATAAAAGTGACCTATCTGATAATTGTATTTGCTTCACCATGTCTGAAAAAAGGTGCCCTTTTCTCTCTGTGCTTTCCTTTGGTCCATGAGATTCTTCTGCTGGTATAGATTTAGTCTGGAGAAAGAGGAAAAAAAAGTGACATTTACACCATATTATTTAAATATGATCTGCAAAGTGTTATCAATAATTCAATTTCCTGTCTCTGATTTACGCAAACACAGATTCCATTGTGACTTACAATATGTGACATACAGATGTGGCTGAATTAATTTTTATTATATACTGCGCTGTGAATTCTTTTTTTGGTTTTGTTTTACAGCTGAAATCACTTATCTTGAGTGTGTTACTGCACTAGACATTTGTAATTAGGCTATTATTTTTTGAGAAGGAGACATCAGCCTCGTGGGTTCTTGTGTAACGCTCTGAAGTGGAACAGATGAAATGCAAAACTAAACTCATCAAAGTCAGGGGTCTATTTTCAGATGTGGAAATTGCCCAAATGTAATTGTTTTCAGTCCAGTAATTTCATGTTGTACTTTTTGGCTGCAGTTTTCTTCAGTTCTCATGGCAGGTAATTTAAACGAAACCCAAGCTGATTTGATAATTGAGTGAAAAATGAGGCTCCTGAACTTGTGGCCTCAGCGTCATCGAGATACTCTCGAGAGCTTTCAGTCTGTTGCTGTTCATTCTTGTGGACGTGTGTGTGACAAAAAAGACGTAGGACTTCATAAGCACTGTGTTTAATCTTGTTTGCAGATGTGATTGGAGCTGCGGTTGCTTGTGATCAGGCAAACGCTCTCCGAATTGACCGAATGCTCTTTTTGTGATGTTTTTGGTCACGGTCAATCAAAAGAGATTTAATGCTGCACAGGAAGCGGGTTTCACTGGAGTCTTTCGCTTGGCGCAATAATTACTCATTGTGTAGTCAGAGGGTGCGAGATGACATACAAGTATTTCAGGATGGTGTGTAATCAATGTTAAAACGAAAAAACTAAATCATATGTTGAATGTTGAATTTCATCAACTTATTAAAAAAAAATGTTGAGATAAACCGGCAAAAGAAGAGCGACAAAAGAGCAAAAATACCAAAGACAAGATGATCCATCTAACCTGTAATCACGACACTGTTAAAAAGTCAACATTCAGTGTTTAAATAGTGCCTGAGTGTGCATGAAATTGGTAGTTATACATCTGTGGAGACACCATTAAAGCTGAATGAAGTATAAAGTTTCAGGAGCAACATATCTTCCAATGAAACATTTTCTTTTAGGGGAAAATGCTTATTTCAGCAAGCCCACACTCTACATGTACTACAGCTGGATGGATCTGAGATAAACAAGCATGCATGTAAACAGGAGTTCAAGTGATCCAGAAACAGTTTGTAAATTATACAACAAACACGTGGGACTCAGGGGAGCATATTTAGCAGGATTGGGGGAATATTTTACACTCAAAACTGTCTTCAGTCCCTAAAAACTAATGTGTTAAAAAGAGATTATGAAGTTACATTGCTTTGTCCCAGGATTATTTTAAGTATTATTTTAAGACCTATAATTAAAGAAAGTAAAATATATATATAAACACATATTTTTAAATTGGTTTCTAAAACTTTATACACTGTCCTTGTACTTTTTTGTTTTTATTTGCATTTTCTACAACAGAAATTACCTAGTCTATAGTTAACAAATAGCTCAGATATACTTGTAGATTCTGAACAGATACACGTGTGAAGTCATTTATTGAACATAACTGGTTTTTGAATTTAATCGGCTAAGATTGGGAAGCGAAAGCATCCGTGTGAAGACACAGTATTCCAGGCGGTAGCTCCTTGTGCAGCCAGTAGGGGGAATCGACTGCTCGCGCTGGCGCCATCCCCGCTCGTCTCCACTCCTATTCCCTGCGTTCTCCCAGGTTGTGGAAACGCTGCAGCCCGCTGGTCTGTGTCTGGATCGCTCTCTTGCACAGATCTGCTCAAGACCCTCCCACCAGCTGGGCTGGAGAAGGAGGAGGGCAGTTTGCTCCGCTCGCAACCTCGGACGAGCCCCCTTTACCACCCTGTCAGTGTAGAGTAGAAGGAGAGTGAGAGAGAGAGACAGGGAGAGAGAGAGGCTGAGAGACTGTGTAATAGAGAAAGCGCACACGAGAGAGAGAGAGAGAGAGAGAGAGCAGCTGTGTGACAGAGAGAAAGAGAATGAGGCAGGGTGCTTAGAGGAGTGAGAGAGCCAAGGAAGAAATAAGGAACACATTTTACAAGAGCAGAAAGAGGGAGGATCGCAGACGAGGGACTCCTTCTCCACTGGGCACCCGGGACACTGTCACTGTGGGGGCTTTTTTCACTCATCTACTAGCTGGAACTCAGTGGATTGAATAACCAACCGGTGGATTTTTTAAAAAAAAAATATATGCTTGTGTCACATCATTTAGAAACTGGGATCTTTGCTCTGTTATCTGTCCTCCCGCTGGCTCAACCGTTACGGACTGAAATTGCTTTGCGTGTCTGTGTTCAGCTCTCGTGTTGTGACTCTGCTCCTTGCACAAAGTGCATCTGACGGCGCTGAGGATATCTCCCCTCTGTCAAACAGGACAGCACGCAGCCATCGTCGAATCAGACAGAGGCAAGAGAGAAAGTGTGTGTGTGCGCGCGTATATGTAAGAGAGGGAAAGAGAGAGCGAGAGGGGCAGCTAGAGAGAGAGTCAGATTCACAGTGTTTGAGAGAGAGAGAGAGAGACAGATTAAAGCCCAGGCAAAAGACTGGAGTGAAACAGCTTAAATAGAGAAGTGAACGTATACGTCCTTTCCCGTTTTCCTTACCATTCCTTTCCTCCTCCTCTCCTCCTCCTCCTCTTCTCCCATTTTCCAACATTTATTGGACTGCCAGAGCTACTGCCACCTGCACCTCCTCGCGTCTTCTCTTTCCTCTTCTTCCTCTACCTCACCCTTATTAGGCGTTAATATCCGACAGCAGCCTCTGTAAAACACGCCTGTCTCGCTTCTAGCACTTGTGGAAATATTTGCATTGATCCAAGAGTGTGAGACTGAGTGAGCATCTGCCTCGGTACTGATTCCCTGGACCGGTAAGACACAGTTCGTCAGGAGCTTCCTCATCAGAGGCAGCCCTTCTCCCAGCCACTGTCCGACACGCAAACCCTGCTTTCTCCCTGGAGGGATCAGCGAGTGACACAGCGGTGCGGATAGCAAAGACAGGAATTGCACAGTCCCTTCATTGCCTCTATCCCATTGCTAGCTACTTGGCAGCTCCCGCCCCCGTGTCACCATTCCCTGCCTCAGTGCTAAGGATTCCAGCTACATGGGCAAGCGATTGGAGCAGCAGCCAATGTACCCTCAGTACACCTACTACTACCCCCACTATCTCCAGACCAAGGTATGCTGCTCTTCTGCTCTTCTTTCATTTCTCAAGCCCACTCATTTACTCCTACACTCTTGTCCTGTATCCCTCCCACTCTTCCTCATCCCCCCCAATCTCTGAGTGGAGATGAGATTTGGTGGATAGTTGGCCTTGGCTGCGATGGTTGTGATGTCAGGAACCTCATTGGAGTTCGGATGTTTATGCCGCTCCATGTGTGTGTGTGTGTGTCTGTATGTATGTGTGCATATATGTCACAGAGTGAATGATCAAGGATTAGGGATCAAGGCTGGAGGCTTTGGTCTACTCTCCTGCCTAGCAGAGCGCAACCAGGAGCTGTCCAGTAACCTCCATATATACTTAATCTGCCTACTGCTGAGCTCCTAAAGAGATGCTGTGAAGCGTAACATGTTAAATAATATGTTTAGCAGATTCAGGGGAATTTTATGAAGCGGAATCTCTTATTGTGCCACTATAGATTAAACAAATGACAGATTCTAAACATTTATTAGTTAATGTAGCTCACTTTAAATTCACTAAACAGCATAAATGTCTCATTGCAGATTTCTGCAAAGATGAGAAAAATGGGTTATGAACCCTTTTATTCTGTGGCAGTGGTACGGCTGTGACACAGAGCAGGCATGAGGACGGCCGCCTGTGTTTGTTCCAGTTATAGTATGCATCAGTGCCTCTGGGATGGACGCCCAGGCTTGGGCCCTGATGGCTGCCAGGACACTGGCTGGGCACACTACCCAGACATCATCAAGGGATTAAAATGGAAGCCTTTTGGGGATTACTCTATTTGTTTTTCTACCATATGTGTAACACTAATTTTTGTCCATTATTGTGACAGTGTGATGCACATCGGTGAAAGAGCTGCAAGTGTACAGTTGAACTCTCAATAGAATCGCTTTGCATTTCATTTGGTTATTAAACCGTGAATGTATCTGATATGATTATTATAAAGAAAACACAGAAATTTTGTTATTTTTAACTATTTATTTTTTTATGTGGCAATCGAATATGATTGATATGATGGACTTTTTTAAACTGCCAACCCAAATGTGTCCCCCGATTCTCACAGTACTTGAAGTTGCCAATGGCATATTTAATATTTTCTTCAGCCTTGATTACTGACTTTTTAATGTTATCAAAATATGGATTACTGCTTCACGGTTGCAATACAGAGCGCAATGGCAGTTTAAATATTTGGGCAATGACACCTCTTTATAATTGTGGGTGTGTACACCGCCACAGTGGATTTTAAATCGATTCAAGGTGTTCGCCAATAGAACTGAATCAGCTGTATATAGACATATTTTGATACATAGTCTTTTCATTTCCGAGGCGCAAAAATGATTGGACAATTTATAGCTAAGAAGTTTCAAAGCCATGTGAGCCCTCTTACCTTTTTATTCCATGACAAATTATACAAATAAAAGATCTGGAGTCAATTCCAAGTGTTGAACTTTGATTTAGGAAAAAACTGTCAATATGGTTTGAAAGTGAAGGAGGTCATCATTAGGCTGAAAAAGCAAAGTAAGCCTATCAAAGAGAGAGGAAAAAAACATGAGGTAGCCAAAACAACAATCTGGTCACTTTTCTTATAAAGATGCTGGAACACCAAAAAGACTGAAAGGTCACAAGAAATCAATACTAATAATAATGGATTGCATTTATATAGCGCTTTTCGGGGCCCTCAAAGCACTGTACAATACCACTATTCATTCACCCTCACATTCACACACTGGTGGAGGCAGCTACAGTTGTAGCTACAGTTGCCCTGGGGCAGACTGACAGAAGCGAGGCTGCCATATCGCGCCATCGGCCCCTCTGGCCAACACCAGTAGGCGGTAGGTGAAGTGTCTTGCCCAAGGACACAACGACCGAGACTGTCCAAGCCGGGCCTCGAACCGGCAACCTTCCGGTTACAAGACGAACTGCCAACTCTTTGAGCCACTCTCTAAGTGCTGGGCTTAGTTCAAGAGACACATTCATGAAAGCAAATTCGGTGGGTCTCCAAAATGGAACAAACTGATAGTTGTACTCAAGAACAAAAAAGTCACATTAGACTTTGCCAAAAAAATGTCTAAAAGATGCTGCAGAGATCTGGAAGAAAATTTCTTTGGACAGATGAAGCCAAGATGAATTTGTACCAGAATAATGGAAGAAAAAATTGTGGAGAAAAGAAAGAAACGGCTCATGATCGGAAGCATATCACATCATCTGTCAAATGGATTGGAGGCAGTATTATAGTATGGACATGCATGGCTGCCAGTGGAACCGGGCCACTAGTGTTTATTGATGATGTGACAGCTGATAGAAGAAGCTGGATGAATTCTGAAGTGTAGAGAGCGATACTCTCTGTTCAGATTCAGTCAGATGCTGCAAAACTGATCGGACAGTGCTTGACATTGCAAGTGGATAAGCACCCAAAGCATACTGTGAAGAAGCCCAGAGTTTCTCAAGGCAGAGAAATGGGATATTCTTCTTCTTGTCCAAGTCAGTCATCTGATCTCAACACAAAAGAGCACGCTTTTCAGTTATTAAATACAAAATTGAACGCAGAGAGCTCACAAACAAGCAACAGTAAAGGCCTAGCACAGCTTCTCAAGGGAGGAACCACAGCATTTTGTGATATCCATGGGTTCCTGAATGAAATGCAAAAGATTTGTATCTGAGTATTAAAAATTGTCCTCATATTTAAAATATGATTGTGATCTCAAAAACGGGGAATGCAGTACTTTTGTTAAACCTCTTTACTCAAACAGAAATTCTGTATTGTCATTTTTTATATTTGTATATCTCAGTCTTAGTCTGTCTTTTAACAATGATTGTTATCCCTCATTATTTATTTCATAAGATGATTGTGTAAAATTTAGGTGTAATTTATGCGTGAGTTTTGGACTTCTGGTCAAACAGAAATCTGGTTAGCATGTTTTGTAAGATCACAAAAGTAAATCACCTTTACTTTTGACCCTTGACCTGAAAAATTCAATCTACTCTCCGTGAGTCCCACTGGATGTTTGAGGTTAATTTAAAGTGTGGAGTAATAATTTAAGTAAATTTAAAGAAACTGCCCCAAGAGAGCTCGTGTCTGCAAGAACAGACTGGATGGACCATAGCAGCTGCCAGTGTAAAAGCATAAAAATATATTTTATTTTTGTGGTCTTTTCAAGTGAGAGCTGTTTTTTGGCATTCTTTCAAACGCTCAGCTGGAAGAATCAATGTGCCACTTTCACCCCATTTATTTCCAGGAAATAAAAAGAGAAATAAAATGTGTTTAAGAAATATATGCAAGGAAAAATTATAAAGTTTAAAAAGGCAAAACACCAGTGAAGCTTTCATCCTTTTCCGTGCTGAACTGCATTGTGAACCATTGCACCTCCAGCTGGGAGGACCTGACTGCGGCCCCACCTGGCAGTCCACTAGCTTTCCCCCTGATTTATAGTTTAATACATTTGTACTGCTGCCATATGGCTTCCCTCTCCCTCACGCCACCCTCCCCTACCCCTTCCATCATCCCCCTCTTCCTCCCTCCCCTTTCTCATATCTCAGAGTTGCTCATCTTGGGAGCCTCTCAATCAAAGCATGCCCCTCAATTCCCTGTCCGTTCATCCCTCCCTCCTTCCTACTTTCCTTTTCCCTTCTTTCTGTCTTCCCTACTTCTCCTCCTTTGTTGCAACAGGGCCCCTTTGCTCCATCGCCTGTGTTGCAGTTCACTCCCAAGGTCAGCACAGATCCGATCTTGCCACAGTCAGCGATTGATGCATCCTTGAGCGAGCTGCTAGGGTTCTGTGTGTCGTGCAAACGAGACCAAAAGTGGAGTGTGCGGAGCAACGGAAGGGCGCATTTCCGCGTATAACTAAGCAGCTGACGTTCATATTCATTTTCACGGTTAGTTAGTGTGGCTAGTGGCCTTTAGGGCGCCTATGACAGAGCCACAGATGGGGTCAATAGGAGAAAGGAAGCCTGGGAGAGAGGCCAGAGCGTTCGGCAGTGTGGCCAAGAGGGCTGTGGAGAGCTATCTCACGCTCTCATTAATGATCATTGATAGCTCGATTACAGAGAGGGGAGAGGGGCCTTGGCTGGCAAGTTCACACCACTTGACAAAATCACATGACACTCTCTTTGGCCAAGCATTTGCACACACATAGAGTACATACAAATTCCTTGCAAGCTTCTCTTTATAGATACACAGTAGTCTTCCTTCACTCCCTAATCATACAAGTCTGTGTAATCAATAAATAGCCTCAGTCTCCCAAGAGACCATGCAGTCTTTCTGTCACCTCTGTTATATGACTCATTTGAGTTTATGCATAGAATCTTTATAGGACATCTGTGTTCACTTGCAACTAATAGAAATATTGTGACAAAAGAAACAAACACTAGCATCACAGCACACCAGGATAAAGTGAGGCACCTCCTAAATTTCGGGTCCCCTCGTCCCCTTTGTATGTGTGTATTATATTTTAATTTAATGGAGTTCTTTGATGCTGTCCAGCATGTGCTAGTCAGCCCAGATTAGAATGTGAAAGTCAGAGAATGAGATGAAACAATAACATTTGGCTTTCTATTGATTAGTGCAGTGGGGCGTAGCATGTGCTTCTCTTTAGCTGAATTATTGATTCCTGAAAGAGGACTTGTGTGTCTGTGTGTGTGCACATTAGTGTGTGTGTGTGGCTTTTATATGAGGTTATGGCTAGGGGGAGCTGGCAGGATGTAGCTTTGATGAAAGGATCCTTTAAAGGCCCTATTTCTGTCTATTCCCCAGATGATCAGTCCATGGAGTCATTTGCTGAAATTCAGCCTTTATTCAGCCTGTGTCTTCCAATGTGAGCGTGATCCTTAGTGCTGTTCACAGCTTGCTGTGCATTCAACTTTAATGATAGGTAATAGATGTGCATCACAAATGAGAAAATTACAGTAAAATGCCTCGCCCAGGACCCAGCCTGGCCCCTCCCCTCACCCACGAGAACAATTACTGCACACGGATCAATTATTGTTGTTTCATGATG